GCTGAGTGCGCACTGAACGGGTCTTAAACGACACTGTCCGAAACAATGAGCGAGTTCCGGAGAAAGAGTTGAAGCGCAAAGAAAATAATAATAACAAAGCTCAGAAGCTATTTGACGAGAGCAGGCCGCGGTCTAGAGCAAGTTTCTCACTGTTTACGAGACTTCTTTGGACGAGCACAACTGCCAAGTGGTTAATTTTCGTAGTTTACGTAGATTATCTCGGCGCGTGCTGTGGTCTCTGCCTCGGTCTCTGCGGCAGTTGGCGCCTAGCTTCAAGGGAGAAATGGATTAAAATTGTTAGTTTTCACTCTTCTTAATAAGCAGGACGGACAAGGACAGAGAGTGAGAGGGAGAGAGAGGGAGACCGTCCCGTGGGACCGCTCCGCTCGCGCTTGCGAGGACGGGGTGACATTTTAATTCGGCAAGCAGATTAAAAAGCAGTCCTTAATTGGAATGGGACTTCTCTTCTGAGGTGTCAAGGCGAGGCGTTGTGTCAGGCGGTGCACGCGCAAGCATCTGCCCGACGCCGCGGGAGGTAAGATCGAGGCAGAAAGGAAACTGTATTTAAACTTTTATCATTCGAAATGCAGACGTACCAACACACTCTCACTCACTCCCTTTCTTCCCCGGCCCAGCCCGGCTCGCCCCCCCCCCTCTTTCTCCATTCCTCTACCAACCCCGTCCCCGTGCCAATTTTTCCCTATGCGTTTCGACACAAGCCCGCACTGCCCTCGCCGACGAGATCTTGAACTCGGCGCCGCGGGCAGCGTATAGGTCGGTCACCGCGTCCTCTGGTATACGCACACGAGCACCTCCGGCGCTGCTGCAGCCTGCTGTGCCCCGCCCCGCCGCAGACAAAACGGACCGTTATGCAAGGCGTGTGGTGCAGCCAGGCCAGACCGCAGGGCGTTATGTCCACGAGTCTATCTCGGGAGCAAAGCGTCGGTGTGATATCGTGGCGGCCCCTCCCCGCCCTCTCTACTCCCCGCAGCCCCCGCGCGGCTCGCGCCAACGCCGTCATCACAGCGGACAGGTGGCCCGTCGAACAAAAGCGCCGTCATCATCGCCTTCGCGGTGGCATTGGGTGGAGCTTCTTCAGAGAATGGTGCAGCCGGGCGGAGGAGCCGGGTGGAGCCGTCCCGGCGACAACCGGGGGCCGAGCAGGAAATGGACAAGCACGAGAGAGAGACAGACATAGACACCCAGAGACAGAGACAGACAGAGGCCCAGAGACAGGCCCAGAGACAGACAGACCCAGAGACAGACAGAGACGACAGAGACAGTTACGGCGAGGTCGAGCAATCCCTGTGAGAGGGACGCCGCGGCGTGGCCGGGTGTCCCAGTCGGGGCGAGCGGCGAGGGCGCAGGCCCGAGCGCATGCCGGAGACTTAAATGCACGGTCTTGCATGAGGGCCGGGCACCGTCGCCATGGGACGAAATCACAAAACACATGTCGAGGCGTGACTGCCCTGTCTTGCCCTGTCCTGCCGTGCCTTGCCAAGCACCCACCGCCCAACCTCGCCCCGCCCAACACCACCGCGCCCCGCCCGGCCACGCTTCGCCTTAGCAAGACAAGCCCCACAACACGTCGTTACCCCAGGTTTTCGTGATTTTCCATATTTGTTTCTCATGCTGCGCTGCCAAACAGGAGCCCCGCGTCCCGGCGGTAACGCCATTGTGCTGAAAAGGGCGCCCCACCGTACAAGCCGGCTCGCCATGAATTGACTGTCGCCTGTTCAAACGGATTCAAGCCATTTGAACGTGACGCCGAAGAATGATAACCGTCACTCACTGAATGCCAACTGAATATCTTTCAAACTGACGCACGTATAGAATAACCTTGTTCACGTACAGTGCTAGGTATGTTTTTACGAAGTGCACTTAACAGTGGGAGAATAAACTCATAGCATGTTTTGGGTTTGGGTCGGAAAAACGCCTCTTAGGAATAGTCACATTGTGAAAACGAGGCCCAACCAATCGCAATCAACACTTTATTTGAGAAATGTTTGAAAAACATGTGTTAGAACTTTCAATTTACAATTTGGACTCTGTTTCCCACCCTAACTGAAGGTAAAAAAAAAGCAGGAGAGTTCAAATTGTGCGATGTAATCCAGTCAGTCGCCGATTGAGTCTAGTCCAGGACTCTCAACGAGTGTAGCCAAAGAAACTACACTGTGAAAAAATTAAGAAGGTTTACAGGAAAATTTTTGTGAACGCAAGTTGTAAAATTACCATTTGTAATCGTAAAAATACATGAAGTACATATTGACTTAAAATCCATTGGCGAGTAAAAAATGTGCTCTCGTAAATTTACAACTTAAATCTTAATTCGAGTTTACAAACATTTTGTAAATTTTGTAAATTTAAGATATTTTTCACAGTGTAAACTTTGCACTGTAAACCCAACTGTGTACTTGACAGCACACACAAGGAAGAGTGTACTATGTACACCCCATGTACACGTACACAGTTTACAGTGTTGCTCTTGCATATTTTAAATAAGACCTGCTCATGAAGGTTTACTCATTATAAAGTGGTCTGCCATGTAGCAATAAAAAGTTTTAGTTACAAAGCAAAATTGCCATTAAAAATGCCAGTTTATTTTTGACTTTGTGCTAAAGCAACTCAACAAAAAGTTGCAACAATGCTAAAAAAGTATCAGCGTTGTGTTTATACTTTGACCTCATTTTTTACGTTTTGTTTGACCGGATAACGGTAAGGTAAAACTGGCTAACCTCCCAGAGGTGCTAACGAATTTTCACCTCCAAGGCAAAATTAAAAACCCTGCTTGACTGGTTCCATTTCCTGGCTTACTCGACTTTGTCACCATTATTACTGTAAATCAATTATTAGATGCCGGTTCGGGGTTATTGACTCACCAGCACTGGCAGACTCCGCATTCTCCTCGTGTCGCGGGCGCCACCGCCGACCAAACACAAATCACTGAACACTCACTCACTCCACGACGCACTAGGGGCTCGTGCACGGCAGCGCGGCACTGAACACTGAACAGCTGGAGCTGGACTGGAGCCGCCAAGGAGGCGCAGCCGGGCCGAGTCGAGCGAGCCGAGCCGAGCTGAGATAGGGAGAGAGGGCGTGCGCGCCGCCGCAGCGGGGGAAGGGAAGGGGTGCAGCTTTACTGCTCGAGAGTGAACGAAAAAAAGAAAGAAGAGAGGAACCTTCAAGCTCAGAGCTGAAGGAAGTGACACCAGACTTGGTGAAGTAAGTTAACTGTTTTAGGGATCCTGTCCGTAAAAAAAAAAAATGAACAGCGGTTCGGTATTTGGGGCATAACATGCAAAAGAGAAGGAACGGTGAATAGCCGCGCCGTTTTGAAACCTGCACTGCCAACCTGTCGAAATGACGATAATGAAGTCGTATTGCGTATTCCATGAAGGCGAAGAAAAAACGGCATCCACACCCCCCCAATGGTTGATGCGGTAGGCGTAGTGTGCCTCCACTATAAATATTCCCCGAGGTGAAGATAACGATAGCGCCTGCCGCGTTCTGGGTAGGCCAACCCGCCAAACAGCTGTTGGCTCGCCCTAGCTCCCACGTTAAGGTTAACTTTTTGTTCATTTTATATTACTGGTTTCATGCCGCTCTTTTTCAGTAAGTTGATCTTCTAGTATACTTATTCTCCACATTTTGTGGTCTTTACACAGTTGTGGTCTTTACGCAGCAGGAATACTGATAAAAGTATTAATACGAATTAGTTCTTTTCTACTGAGTGAAAAGTTGACATTTTATTAGTGTTAAACGAAAGCGTACGGAATAATTGACAAATTCGATTAGTAATTCGATTTTATCGCTGTAGAGAACTCCAACATTTTAACTGATAAAGTCAGTACAGGACTGCGGGTGTATGTTTTGAAACATATTTCTTGTATGAATGCGAAATCAAGCCAAGAGTAATGAAAATAATTAAAAGATCGACCTTCTATTTGTATTTAGCACATCGGCCTTATCACTCAATTTGAATCCCACATTTGTGAAAACTGGCGTGCTTCTTCCAAGAGGGGAAGGCGAGGCGGGTGCATGAAGACGGTAACGAGTCGGGCCCGGCCCGGGCACTGCTCAGGGCAAGCCCTACGGCGGATGCACAGCGTGCTTACTGAGGCTTTTTGTCGAGGAATATTTTTGTCGTCGACTTGTTTTCATATCGATGGGCGATCAGACAAGCGTGCCTCGACGACCCGGCCCTGGCAAATGTCAACGGGCCCCCATCGACGTGTGTGAGTAGGGAAAAGGGGAAGGGGGGGGGGGTCGTCGTCGGTCTCGGTCTTCTCCCGCATTGTGTTTGACCGGCAGTACTTTGAGAAGCACTCGCCCTCCCCAACGAGGTGCTATTGCGTTCTAAATAGGAATGGTTAGTTTTGTATCCAGCGTGTTCCTCAGCTCTTCTCATTCGGATGCAAATTTGTCTCTAAACTGCACGCAACACACAACAAAAGTGATCCGTTCTGAGGCTAGGTTCAACTGGTGCTCGCGGTATCTTTTCAGATAGAGCTTGCATATAAGTAGTTGAGATGTGCTTAAGAACACATCTGCGCTGGATACAGATCGCCCCAGAGAGAGAGAGAGAGAGAGAGAGAGAGAGAGAGAGAGAGAGAGAGGGGGGGGGGCTCTTCTTGTGTTTGACCGGCAGTACCTCGGGGCAGCACTCGCCCTCCCTGGCGGGCGACTCCATTGCGTCATTGCTCTGCACTGCCCAAAGCGGCCCGCGGCCCGCGGCCGGCCCGACCTACACCACTAACGTCACTGAGGCGAACCGCGGACTGGGAGAGGCGGACCGGTACAGCGTGCGGTTGAGATACACACACAGTGGATCCAGTTGGGCTGAACAAATTCCATGCGCGTGGGCCGAACCTCGCGCTTGTGGCCTTACTTCACCTTCCTCCGGCCCAACATTGATTTTCTGCTTCATAAGTGCATGGATAGTTTAGGTGTAGTAACACTAGACTAGAACGCTTTATTGGCCACAAAATGATTTATAGGGAATAGCGGTGCGCACTATAAAATAAATGGAAATGCTGGAGTGATGTGGATGTGTCTCGTCTAAAAAGTGTGACGGAATTTTTCGTTGCCCCCTAATAGCGATGTCTGTTTTCGTCGCCCCATTCAAGTGATATTGGAACATCATTGGAATTTTTGGCCATCCCCCTTCTTGAGTGAAGGCCGCCATTCAAAAAAGCAATGTTGCAAACTTGTCACTCAAAAAAGATCGACAGAAGCAAGCGTCGCTCTTCAACTAATGTTCATCTTCATACATGAAAATGAATCTGCACGCATACCAAGAAAATTAATCCCCAAACGCACTAGTTGGTTCGAAGCAATACATTCATCACCGAACAAAAATTTCATCTCTAAATAAAAATTCCTTGTAGTAGACTAATCATCATCGGTGAACAATCATTTTTGCTAAATAGATTAACGAGATATTTAC